AAAATGTATTTTAAAGGTTTAACATCTTTTGATGTGACATTATAAATTCATAATTTAACAGTTAAAAGTGCGGGGAGGGGGGGGGGGTATTTTAGCTGGGACGGCCACTCCCAGCAACCCCCCCCAACCCCTCATCCCAAGGCAAATAAGTTAGGTGTCCGCAAGAAACATAATTTTTCTCTGCTTACTATTTAACCGCTTTTTATCTAAATATACTAGGCCTACACATCATATCGACAAAAAATATTTTAATAGGAGCCCTTTTTTTATTTCATGAACAGTGGAAAACTTCTAAATTCTAATATAAAATCTCATAATCACACATAATCATAGTGAATGTAAACAGTTTATTTTCCCATCCTGCATCGCTCTGCAAGCGCTTTATTTCATTGGTCAATTTCCCGAGGCGCCATTTTTGGAGGATCGAGAAGGACGAAGAAGAAGGTGTAAGCAGCTAGTAAATGTGAAAAGTTAAGATGGTTTCACCACCCAGTGTCTTTAAGACTGTGATAAATGCAATGGCCAACGATGAAGGATTAGTGTACGTATATTTTTGTTAACTTTTTACGGTAAATAGTTGTAATATTTGGCAACAACAAATCTTCACTATCGGAGGCAACTTTTGTTCTGACGCCATTTTGAAAAGTTGGATACCTAAGTTTTAAATTGTTAAGGTAGGTCCGTACTTTCAGAATTTTCTGTCAAACTGTTTATTTTTTGATTTGAAAATCTTGAATAAGTCATAATCTAACAAAAACACCCATAAAAAACATATCTTTGCAGGTTAATTTTCATGCCACATGTCTCGGAGTATATGCCTCTAAAAATTCAACAGCCAAAATTCAACATATGGAAGTGTAACATCATATTTTATTTAGTTATGTACCAAATCACATCCAATTATTGTTAAAACTTAGGAAAATCATAAATATTCATTTGTCAAGAAAATATTTGAAATTTCCATTTGAAAACACTAAAAAATTGATGTTGATTCTGTCAAAATCTTTCAGAGAAAAAGCTCAAAATATCTTTATTTTAAATATTCCTCAAAATCTTATATGTTTATATGCTATTTTTTCTTTACAATTATTTAGAATTATACCTAAGGTTAGCAAAAAAAACATACTTTATTATGGTTGACCAGAAAAATTTTACAAAACAGCCTTTTGAACACCTATACCCCCATTTTTGGAATATCTATTTTTTCAATCGTTCTTCGCAAAACCTATAAAAAAGTAAATTTAAAAAGATGATATAGGCTAAAAATTAAAGGTAAATAGATCTCAAGTTAGTTTGTTTGGAAACATTAAAAAGCTTTAGGTCCATAAAGGCAATTGAGAATTTTGTATCTGTGAGTGTATTAAATGACATATAGATCCTATGGACAGAGTGCAAAGTGGTTATTCCTATAAATAATGCACATTAATTAAATGCTTTGTGTGCACAATGACAGTATAATAAACAAATATATAATTGCTACATTATTTTCAATCATCAAAAAAGATTTTATTTAATCAAAATTTTATATTGGTGTGTAAAATTAAAACCGGATCCGTAAAAGTATGGACCTGCCTTAAGTGTATATATTGCAGAGAGAAAGAGAGAGAGAGAGAGAGAAATTTAAGACAGTGATATAGCATAATTTAGATTATGGAGGCCCCAAAGGCACCGTGCATGTGCATGCTATATGTTGTAAAATGGCAACGTTTCGCCTTTTATCATGTTCATTAAAACGTATGCTCCATATGTATGTTCTCTCTATATATATAAATGAATACTTTTCGGAATTAAAAAAAAAATATTTTTAACCCCGCTCAAATTATCCGGATGATAATAGTTACACCGAGCATGGTTTCGTAGTTAAATTCAGACTATAGAACATCCGGTTTGAATACATGTGTTTTCTGACTTTTCGGATAGCCAACTCTTGTTTTTTTTGGAACTTACGACTTATGGCAAGGTATAAATTGAATATTTTTGGTTCAAAACTTTGATAAAAGCATCGATATTTTGACAAAAAAAGTGTCTTCAATCTCAGCTTATCCGATTATTCATGAAGGATATCCTCATCAGAACAGTTGGAATAGATTGTAGTCAATACTGTAGCACAACCCTTAATGTTAATCATATGCATGACGATGATATGGAGGAAAATATACATAAAAAGTGAATGTAGGTGAAAGCTTGTCCACTTTTCTGAAGAGATTAGGTTTGTTTTATTGTTTATTGAAATAGTTTACTGCTCAAAAGATTTTTTTTGTTGGTAATGTCTAACCTGTTGAGATGAAGATGTAAAAAAAGAAAAGCCTAATAGTGAATTAATATTGATAGTATGTCAAGAAATGCAAATGAATCATCAGCTTGAATTATGAGTTTTTTCACAGGGCTCTCGATTCTCTGAAATTGGGGCCATTCAACGGCCCCGTTCCCAATGCAAAAAAGGTACCTTTTTTCCCAAAAGAAAGATGTAAATTTCCCAATTTTCATAGCAAAATATTAATTAAAAAATAAAAGTCCATGAAACTTAATCGCAAAAAAAAAAACCCAAACAAAACACACTTGAAAATGAAAGTGAAACTGTACCACTGTTTTATTAGTTCATGCCAAATGCATTCGTAAACTGGTTCGGGGAACCAGGTTATTGTTTTTTACCGAAATGTGTACTATGAGTTCAGAGTATCTTGTCATGTAGTTTCGACAAAAAAACATAATTTTGGTTTCAAAAAAAGACATTTCACTTAAATATTACCGGTAGTAAGCTGCACGTAGAACATGTAGAAACATACCCATGCACGCTTCGGCATGATCAGTCTCGCGCTGTATTGGTAAGCAACTTTGTCCATGTGATCGAGGAAATTCGGGACAATGTGACTAGCGACTGTCACTCAGAAAGACATAACCTCAATATCAACACTCAAAGATAGTAATGACAAAGCTAATGTACTTTCATAAATAGCCTACATACCCATGTTTGATCTGTATTCAAAACCAGAGTTAAATAGATGACAAAATGCTAGAAAAGCAAAATTTGAGGATTTTTTAAAATGAACATTGGTTATCCAACTTTTCCCAAAAGGATGGTAATTTTCCCAATTTGAACGGCCCCGGTCCCAGTCCCAAAAAGTGGTGTGAGAGCCCTGTTTCACAATTATTGACCTGAGTAGGTCAGTGTATAGCAAATAATACATACTCTTTTCCATATCACATCCTAGCCCGAGACACCAATATCAGCCAGAGGGACAGAGGCCCTAGGGCTGATATTGGTGGACTTGGTCTGATACAGGATGTGATGTGGAAAAGGGTATGTTTCATTATGTTTATTACAAACTTGGTAATAAAATACAGAACACTTCAAGTTGAGAAGATCAAGAAAATAAGTAAATAATCATGCACAATAAAACTACTTACATACATGTACACGGTATTGTCTTACTGAACAGATTTAGCTGTCATTGATTAGGTCAAAATTGCAAATAATAACATGCTTCTTAATCTTATATCTGTATATGCAGGTAACTCTTGATGGCTTGAACTTCGATTTCTCGGAAGTTCTTGATCGCTTGAAGTGAGTCTCCAGTCCCGATTTTTTCCACTATATAACTAAGCAGATTTGCTCTTGATTTCTCGAACTCCTGATCTCTCGAAACCCTTGATCCCTGTGAATTTTACCCTTGATACCTCGAAGTGGCTGTGTGTATACCAAGTTATAATGTTCAAACTTTTGCCATAACTGTATATCTGTGTGTCTGTCTGAGTGTCTGTCGTCAACTTAAACCTTCACCATAACTTTAGAACTATACAAGATAGTGGCTTCATATTTAGTATGCATACTCCACTAATGAAGTGCTTTCAAATGGCAACAAGGACAATGATTATGTGATCTTGACTGTGACCTGTATACTAAAAAAAATTGCATTTTCGAACTTTGTTGCTGTGTTTCACAAGCGCATCTTGGTTTTAGCTCTACTGGTCAGAGACCATGATAGCTTATGCAATAGAAATGCGTCCGTCCATCTGTCTAGCTGTCCGTCTGTCTGCAAACACTACTCCTCCTTAAATTTTAGTCTGATTTCAATATAACTTGGCACACAAGTAGACTATACTAAGATACATAATTCTGTGCATCAGTTTTTGATAAGTACAAACCAGTAGAGCTACAGTCTCGACAGAGACTTCTGGTTATTTTTTCTTCCATCCCGGTTGTTGCTAATGCTATTACATAATTAGTTTAAATTAGAATGCAACAGTACCTGGACATAATTTATCATTTCAGAGAGAAGAAAACTGTGTGACTTTAAAAGAAAACCAGTGAGATAAAATCATAGAAAATGTATGATGATTCAGGATGTGGTCATTTGGTAAGTGGTAATTCATTCATGATTAGTATGTATATGACAATTGCCTGAAAAAAAAAGATTCTAAATTTTATTTAAATATTGAACTGTGGTATATCAGCTGTGAGCTACAAGAAGTTTTATGTAAAAGCTAGGGCTGAAACAATTTGCCCCCTCCATGTTATGTGTGTATTGCTATGATTGACATACAATCAGTTCTCTAATACATACACTTCAATAAAACTTTGTCGTCTTGGACCTGAATTGAACAGGAAAAAACTCTGAGATCTCTCCAAAAATTTGAATGAAAAAAAGGAAATGCTTATTAACTGAATTCTTGCTGGTCAGTATTTTGATTACTTAAAGGAAGCTCTAAAAACTGCACACTAAAGAGTTCTACTTTAATATCAGGTAGTTTTATGAAGTTAGAGTGATCTGCCCATAGATTAAGGTTATGAAAAATGTTATTTTACAGTCAGTTAGATTATTTTTAATAGATTAAATTATTTTTAGCATTATTTAAAATAAAAAAAATAGGAAATTAATTATTTTCATAAATTTTTTCCAATGTAAGTAAACAGCAATGATTTCTGCTTACAGATAGTCCATTGTCTTTGAAATTTTCTTGGGGAAATGAGGCACATACCATATGTTCTAAATGAATAAAAAAGGCTCATTATGCACATATTTATATGAAATATGATAGATTTTTTTCTCTTAAAGGAAGAATTTCTGCAAGTCACTAAGTTTTTAGAGTTTCCTTTATTTTATAGATATTAAGTGAAATTATTTGAAGTATTAAATTTTGGTAAATTTTATGATACTAAAAGCTAGGTTATATGGATGAAAAAACAGCATGCGTGTATGACAATAGGGCTTAAATTTTTAATGTCTCTTAATTTTTCAGTGACATTAAAACAGGCATTGTCATCACCAATAGACGAATTTCACATTCCTAAGAGTTTTCTCCAATTGTCGGCGTATCGCTCATTTTTCCCACTTTGTCCTTTGTAAGTTACTTGTTAATATTTTCAATCTTCAAAAATATTGGACAATTACGATCTGTATCTGTATTGCCAGAGTATGGTGGCAACATGAAAATCATAATGAATATGTTCATACAGATTTTATTTCTAAGATATTGTCCCTCAAAGTTGATGCGGTAAAAAAGGGAAAACAGCGTCTTAAGCCGGTTGACCCCAGATCGACCCTGCGAAGGGGAATAACTTTTGTAAATGTGAAAGTCCTTTATGGTATATCATGTAGATCTAAAACTGACTGAATTTTGATCAGCCGATTCATGAACATGATGAATGGATGTAAATATTGTTGGTCAATATATGTAAAAAAAAAAAAATTAAATTACTTGTTTATATATATACATTTGTGGTATCTCTCCCATTGAAGTTTATAAACTTGTTATTTATTTCTAAAATAAACTGAGCGTACATGCAATACCGGTATAAAATTACTCATAAGATACATGTATACTTAAACCATGATAAAATCATATGTGTCTAATGCAGCATATGATAAATCATTAACATACAAGAACATGTGTATATATACTGTAATACATATATATTGCATTATTTTTAGGTCCTATTCTGTGGATGCCCTAAGACAGTGTCTACCCATCACTCCATCTGAAATCACTTGTTCTATGCATATTTCTCTCTCAAACTTAAACTACAGAGAGCCTGTGGATAGAGGATGAAGAGTGACCTTGGACTAATTTTCTAGGTCAAAGGTTAGTATCAAAATCTACTGTATATCTTTATTTAAAATCTGGTGTAATCTAGCTTTTGTGCAATGGGATGGAGGGTCTGCAATGATCTTCAACCAATTTCTAGGTCGAATATCAAAATTAAAAAAAAAATCTCTCCCTAATATTTTTGTTATTATAAAGGGTATGTTTTCTCTCAAACTAATCAAACTTAAAGCAGGGTTCTTACTATGAGATACATGGAGTAATATATTCTCAATGACATAATAAGGCTGAAAACATTATTTATATTATGTTATTTTTTTTCACTTATCATAAAGCATTAAATATTAAAGAGATACATTAAATGCTGAAATCATATGTATCATGGTCATGGAAAGTAATTATTGATATTGGTATATTAAAGGACATTGACTGATCTCTCAGATTTCTAAGTTATATTCAAGCATTATAATTCTGACATCATATAATAATTTTGTATGAATATTGCAGATCATAGGTGATGTGAAGAAAACCAGGAAACTGATGTTGAAAGAAGTACTTAATGACGCTTATGAATGGACTTAAATGTGAAAGACTGTTCCATTGTTTATCTAAGATATATGAATTTATTTAATATTTTGATATTGAAAAATTCAGTTACAGTTTTTGTACATCAAATGAATTATTAAACATATAAAATGGAAATGCTTTTTTCTTTTACATGTAATAAATTTTTTTGATAGATTTTTAAAAGAATACCCATTATTTCACATTGCTTCCTTTAGAAAAGTTAGGGAATCTTGAAGTTTCCCAGTAATTTCCACCAGGAATGGGACTCTAGATAATTCCACCTAGTTTCCGCCACACAGAAAGTGCTACACAAGTTCCACATAGTTTCCTGAGTCAAGGAAACTTCAGGAATCATAAGGTTTCACGAGCTTCCATGTAGTTTCCCATAAAAGAAAACCTTAAGATTCCATCAAGTTTCCATTCCACGGAAACCACTACGCTCCGATTCCATATGGTTTCCTGAGTCAAGGAAACTTTAGGAATCGTGAGGTTTCCCGAGCTTCCATGTAGTTTCCCGTACAAGGAAACCTAAAGATTCCACCAAGTTTCCATTTCACGGAAACCCCCTACGCTCCGATTCCATCAAGTTTCCTGATTCTGGAAACCAGTGGAATCTTCAGGTTTCCCATTACGGGAAACTACATGGATGTTCGGGAAACTTCAGGTTTACAGAGGTTTCCGTGGTACGGGATACCTTATGGAATCAGAGTAGGGGGTTTCCGTGTCACGGAAACTTGGCGGAATAACCTAGCATCCGCTACGGAAACCACTGGGAAACATGATGTAAACTTGTGGTTTCCATAAAGTTTCCCATGATGGGAAACCACTTTTTTTCACCCAGTAATTTGACATTCTGGCCCCTAGTAACCCCTAATTACGTAACATATGAAAAAAATATTATCATATATTGTTGCAAATCGTTAAGATGAATACTTTTGCCCTAGTAATGTATAACAAAATATTGATCATTAGAGAGTTATAGATAAAAGACTTTTGGCCCCTCTGAGCCCCTAATTTGAGGGGTCAGCCCCTATTTCTTGATATCAAATGTAAGGTCTCATGATTTTGAAGACTTTTTGTTCAACACTTATTCAGAGATTTCTTTTCGTTATGGAGATATGCTAAATAGAAATATTTAGGGGCCATCGCTACAAGTCCTTAATGGGACCGTTTTACAGACATTCAATGCATGCATATTGTTTAGAACATTATTCTGACCATCTTTTGTTCAATATTGCTTATCAAAATATTCCCCCTTTTTTGAGATATAAGGCGTTAAAGATTTGACATTCTGGCCCCTTGTGACCCCTTATTATCATATGATCAAAATTTTATGATATATTGTTGCAAATCGTTAAGATGAATACTTTTGCTTCAGTAAGATATAACAAAATATTGATCATTAGAGAGTTATAGATAAAAGATTTTTGGCCCCTCTGAGCCCCTAACTTGAGAGGTCAGCCCCTTTTTCTTGATATCAAATGAAAGGTCTCATGATTTTGAAGACTTTTTGTTCAACACTTGTTCAGAGATTCTTTTCGTTGTGAAGATATGCTAAACGGAAATATTTAGGGGCCACCACTACAAGTCCTTAATGGGGCCATTTTACAGAAATTCAAAGTATGTATAATGTTTAGAACATTATTCTGACCTTCCTTTGTTCAATATTGCTTATCAAAATATTCCCCCGTTTTGAGATATAAAGCGTCAAAGATTTGACATTCTGGCCCCTTGTGACCCCTAATTACGTAACATATGATCAAAATTTTATAATATATTGTTGCAAATCGAATACTTTTGCTTCAGTAGTGTATAACTACTGAAGCAAAAGTATTCATCTTAACATCTTAACGATATTGATCATTAGAGAGTTACAGATAAAAGACTTTTGGCCCCTCTGAGCCCCTAATTTGAGGGGTCAGCCCCTTTTTCTTGATATTAGCTGAAAGTTCTTAACATTTTGCACATGTTTCCCTCTATATGTTTTAGCAAATTATAAACAGGTATGAAGATATGAAACAAAATGTGTCAAATTTTGTGAGATGTTTCTGAGACAGTTTTTCGGGCCTTACCGTGCTCCGGCGTCTTTTGCGCTAGAAAGATTTAGGCACCCAATTGCAACTCAGAAAACCTTCCTGTATACTCACTAAAAATCTTGGGTCAATATCTTAAGTCGTTTTGGAGGAGTTTCCTGGACAAGCTGACCCTCTGAAAATCAGAAAATCGTCCATGTCTCACCACCGGAAGTGACTTCATCAAAAAGGGAAAAAACCTACCAAGATCAATTGAATATCTTTTACGTCTGAAAGTTTGATATAAATCGGATGAGCCATCTCTGAGAAATCGCTTGCACAAAAACGGTTGGAAGGAAAATAATAATATGGAAAAAGAAACCGAACGAAAACAATAAGGTCTTCCGTTGGAAACGGTAGACCTTAAAAAGAAACAGAGTAAAAACAATATGTTCCCCAACTTCGTTTGGGGAACATAACAAGTAAAACGGATGCAAAGCATAAAATCGGCCGCAAACAAAAGAGCCGTAGCGCATTTA